ATAGAAAAAACAAATCCGTGCATACTTTATTTAAACTAGCTATGCCTGGGAGCTCTGACCGTTGCCTGAAGGGCCGTTAAAAATCCGTGTTGACTTACTCGCCAAAACATGATCAGATAACTATTATAGCCATTATCATATTATTGTAAATATCCAAATAGCGAACGTGCCTGTAGAGTTGACTTTAGCGCCAGTAACTCTAGTTGATACAGACTGTCATTTTAGGGATTGAATAGAGCTAGCGCCAGCTCTGCCTCGAGCAAGAATGACCAAACCTTAAGACTGATACCTTTATGAATAAGAAACTACGTGATTTTGTAGACGTTTTACTGAAAACTTTCTCGTTGCTCTCTAAAAGGGGGGAAATACGACGATGGGGGGTGAAGATCTCTGTATTTGGACGTGACATTTAGCTTCGTATATGCTGGACACGTCAGGAATACAACCAAGATCCATGGCGAAAGATTCCCCACGGCGTCATAACTGTTTCCCTGTCTAGTACTCGGCCTGTCAGGGTGAACGACCTCCATCCTAATAAACCAACAAGTCATTTGCAGTATTAATTTGAATATCATCAATGTTGTATAATTTAATGGGCCATGTTATAATGTTGGCCGATAGCAAAACCAGAATACATGGATTTCATTGGTGCGCCACCACTATCCTTAAGCGGGTAACAATATCGCGCGCATAGACCTATTGTCCAAAGCATGATGAATGTTCACATTAATCATACGGCAAACATTCTCCGTCCTATGATATTTATATTGATCGAATCATAGATGTTAACTGATGGCGGTCGACGACGTGGTATTGTGAGTCATCATGTGTCGGCCTAATTGCATGCTCTTTAAATGTTGATAGGACAAGTTGACAACCCAATTGTATTAGAGATTATTTCTCTGTTTTGTTTGTACAGTAGGCCTAACATAAGTTTTCTGTGTCAAAAATGTTCTATAATGTATAATGTGTTCGTCACAGTTAGGCACTAGTTCTCCGACAACGTCATGTGGAAATGGTTGGCGCAACGGTTGTGGCTCGGACTCTCGACTTTGAGGTGTGTAGGGGAGGGGGGGAACCCCTTCTGTTTATGTCGCTCTGTCCTCGGCCAAAGCACTTTATCCACATTAGACCTATATACTTATCTCTCCACACCCAGGATTATGAGTGGATACCTAGGAGATACTGCCATTGTGCTGGTAAGATGTGTATAAGAGACAGATTTACAGCATTACGATTTTAAGTTTATCTCCATCATATCATTATATATATTATTATAAGGATAAATGTAATATTATTATTTGATATTATTTGATAAATGTAACCATTATTCTTGTGCTTGTGAATATGGTACAGTATTATTGGATTGCTGATAACAGAGTGTATGCATAATTTCGCATGCCCTTGCTTTATGATTAATCATTCAATTTGTATTTTTATTTCTGTTGTTTTTTAATGAGACAAAATGAATGTTATTTGTGTATGCGTGTATGTATGTAGAGCGGGAACGGTAGTGGGCGTTAACGCCTAAGGAGAGAAAAGAGGCGGCCCCTTTGCGGATGTGTGGTATGAGTTACCGGTGTGTAGGCCTACAGAACTGAAATTATAATCATGGAATAATTCTTGTAAGTAAACCAATAATATACGGACTGTTAAACCAGATGAAACTATTGGAGCTTACTGGAATTCTAAATTACAAAACTGTTATTGCGTTCATGTAGAGTATATGGAAGAATGGCCTGTAGCTTCACATATTCAATGCAGTTTGTGAAATCCAAACTGACGTTTGTTTAGGAAGGACTAAGTCTTTTCAATAAGATAACTTGACAACACTTTACTTGGATTTACTGTGCATTGAAACAATTTTCATTCGACCTTGGCCGGTACCTTTGACAAACTATGACTTGCGAAGTGTTACAACTCACTCCTCCCTCGACCATTTCCCTGGGCCCATCGTCGTCACTGGCAATACGCTCTACCATCGAGACGCGCGCCCTCGATTGCGTCTCGGTGGTACAGCGCCCCCAGGCCAAAAGTGTAGACAAAATCGCGTGTGACACTAATCACGCACCTTCAACACTGGACGTAGATTGTCCATATTAGGCCATAATGACTTTGATCTTAATTTTCATAGCATTTTCCCCAATGTCTTTGTTAGCAATACAAACTGTTCATCCATGCGCTTCTGAAATTTCATACTTTTTGTGAGTGTTTATTTTAGGGAATTTATTAAGACGCCGGTTATTTTTAGATGAGTTAAGATATTAGCTGAGTTTATGGTAATTCTATAGTGTTAAGATTTTCGTGGTATAAGTAGGTAGGTGTGCTATCGGTTACTGTGAATCAATAATAGAGGTGTTTGTTGGCTACACCTTTATATAATAGAAACGATAATAATTATAGTATGAAACCAACTCCCAAGTAAGCCTAAGTGATTCAAGTCATCGAACGCGTTATTTAGAACGTTATTTGTGTATTTGCTGCATTGCACTTTGTACGTTTTTGTCGTTTATAGGACGTATTTATTTTATTGAAACAATTTTTATATTACAAGATGAAACGATTTTTTTAAACTCAGTCTCTTTTATGAGGCTAAGAGAGTGGAATTGTTTTTAGTCGTGAGAATGCAAGTATTAACCAGCAAGGTACAGCTCCACTCCATATGTATAACCTTTTACGACTTTCTAAATAAAAATGGTTGAAACTTATTATGCTAAACTTACTGTTGGACCCAAAGGCAAGTAATGTCTTAGTTATTGTATTGAATAACATTTGAGTAACATTATAAATTGAATTAAAATATCCTATGCATTCGGCCTCTGTTAGGATAGCCAACCATCTCTACACGATATGTAGTACAAATAAGCCCTCACAAAGTATGATAACTAAATTTAACTGTCCACTTTTACGTTTTTGTATTTTTATTCCCATACCTGCTTTCTCTGCCAACGTGTTCGATGCTTAATCGTTGTAATTAGTTTAAACGTCACCAATAATGTCTACTAATTATGAAATTGGTATCGATTTCTTTGGCCTCACAGAAGCCCTCAAGAGTCCGGCATAAGTATCCGTCTTCGAGCCGTTCTTTGATGGTCCGACATTGGTATTCAGATTGGGCGATGGTTTGATCTATCTCCGCCGTGTATTCAAGACCAATTCGGTTCGATTGTGATTCCAAACAAACGGCTTTTCACCTGGCATTAGCCTTGTTGAAAGAGAACGATCCATTCACGAACTTTAAGCTTGTAGTCCGTTCCAAGGCATTATACTCCTACCACAAACACTCGGTACTATGTTGAATCTATTCATACATTATGCAGTGAATGGCCTCAATGTAAAGTTAAGCTTCTTTAAAGTATCGATATAATGAAGCATGAATAGTGACGAATCAACCTCTATTCAGCTACAATAATGTTTTTCCTTCGTCTTCGGGGCATCAAAGGACCGAATGAACAACACCTTACCCTGAATATGTTCTTCTCTTCGTTTTTCTTGGCTTTATTCCTCCGTATTGATTGCTATTTAGTGAGCGTGTCTTGCAAATTAACACTGTATAGGCCTTATTTCTGGAGGGGATCGGACTCTTTCTATCAACGAATAATTATCTACCTATATAGGATGATAGGCCAGCATTTAAGGGTTTATACAAACATACCCTCCACATTATGCTCTAAGTATTTAGTTACAATTACTTAGTGTTAGTAGTAATACAAATTTTCATTATAAATGTAACGTCGGTTACTAATAGGCCTAAGTTAAATTAAACCTACCGCACTGAATGAACTTGGGTAGGCCTATGTCTTTATTTTATAAATTGGACTTTTGTAGCCTAAATTGTTTCTCCTTTTTGACTTAGACCTATTTTCTGTATGATGTATTTATTCTGTAAACTCGTATCTCAATATTTAGTAGGATTACCACAAAGATGAGGCCTGAACTTTAAAGTGTTTCGAATACCTAGGCCTACGTAATTGGAATCAAACATAAGCGAACTAAAGAGCTGCAGCTTCATAGTACCTCGTCATCGCCTTACTTGTAAACAATGCTGCGACGATACCACTTGTATTACTCATTTGCTTATTTAGGCCTACATGGCTGTATGCATTGTTTTTCCCTATTCGTAAGATTAATGAAAATCTGTAATTCTGTCCTAGTTATAAAACTTGTTGACAAACTAATTGAATACGGGTATGATATTATTTAATCATTTTACATTGCCTAAATAATTATATGTATCTAATAATTATTACTATCTATCGCACACTAAGAACAGATTTTGCGTTTATGTGTATTTCATCTATTTCATTGTTACTAACTCTAATTCATATGATAAATACGTATAGTTTATGATAAATTTTGAATTTTGTCAACTTGATTATTAATAAGCCTATATAACATGTGAAGTTATTACATAAAATAAAATCTATTTTTGCTGACAAAATTAATATAAGCTTTTTTTTTAATGTGTTTTTAAACATTATTCTTTTGTGTGCTTTCGTAACGAATTTAGTTTTGGTAAATGTTTTTATTCATTTAAAATGATAGGCCTATTTAATAGAATTATCCTAAAATAATGTATATAATAGTGACCATGAAAATCGTAGTTGGCCTAGGCATATATCTATTTATGCACAGACCCTAAATACGAATATATTATAGGGTCTGTGATTTAGGCCTATACTTGTTATATAGGCGTTATTATATAACTTCCATAAATAGAACTTTATGTTTTTCTGTTTGTTACTCATTTTTTTCGGATGAAAACCAACGGATGACAGAGAGCAGTTCTTGTCGGTCGAAGCGATCTATGATTGTTCACTTTATCAACAGACTTAAAAATCGAATTCTCTATTCTTTGTAACTATTACAGAGCACGATTAGAAAATCATGTAATTTGATTGGTCGATTGTCGTGTGAACTAAGCACTGATTGGTTCAAGTTAGTCACGCCTTTGACTAGCCTGTCCGTGTTTATGTGTGTGACACAGTGGATAAGAAGTTTATGAATACGCAGCTAGGGTTAGCATTAGTAGGCTATGCCGTGTTCATCAAGCACAGTGCAGTGTATTTCTCTCCACTAGCGAAGCGCATGTGTCAACTGATGAGAGGGACGTCTGTGACATTACCACAACACTAGCCTATTTGGATGATATTGCCATACTTGGGCCCAGGAACGTCTTGATAAACGCGTAAACAACATAACAAAAAGCTTTGGACGGACTTTGGTAGAACCTAAACAAACCATACATTTATTAACAATGATTTCTGTTTAATTTTTCAATTCTATAATTGCACCTTGCTTATATCAGGACTCCGTTCAAAAATATTTTATTTGAGTTACAAAAATCAATAAAAATAAAACAATTCTCGAAAATATATAATGCTAACACACGAAGTCATAATGGAATTGTGAAGGAGTGATATACTCTAATACTGGAATGATCGTGTATGTAGCAGATTTGGATGATCGTACCTGTAGACATTTCTTTGATTTTCATTTTTAATGAACACATCGTATCTTGCATTGTTTATCGGATTTTTGCTTACACGTCAATAATTCCCAATGATGGTTCAACTGTGTGCAGGTTGTGATCGACCGATCCTAGACCGGTATTTGCTAAAAGTTTTGGACAGACCCTGGCACGCACAGTGCGTGCAGTGCTGCGAATGTCGAGGGAAACTTGCTGATAAATGTTTTTCTAGGGAAGGAAAACTGTTTTGTAAAAACGACTTCTTTCGGTGAGTATCTGCTTCCCTGTTTGTGTAAACAAAGCAATAGGTCTATGGTCTATGTGTAACACGGGGAATTACCCTGTATTCACGCATGTTTAATTCCGTAAAATAGGCCTAAACTGCAGTATAGGGTCTGGGCCTAAACCGCAGTATAGTGTATGTGCCTAAACCGTAACGTATGTTTTGTTTATTAGTTAATATTTTTAAAACACTAACAGATATACATGACAGACTGAGAAAGCTTATAAGTCGTCTAACATATAGAGTTGCACTGTCAACAGTGTGATGTGTGCGTTATTAATTATTCAGTCGATTTCTTAATAAATAATGCATTTTTATAGAAACTGATTAAATATTAAGTTGATCTTAACACTTAGGTAAACGAAGTTATAACGAGTTAGCAAAATTTCATACAATTATATATACACAGTAGAGCTGTAACAGTAGGCCTGGGAGCTCTTTACAATGAAACGTGGCTTTCGACCACAATGGAGGTAGTTTAAACATGGAGGAATTAGTTCCTCCATGGTTTAAGCATGATGGTGATTTGATGCTCTATTTTAACATCCACAGGGTTAGCTTTGCACCCCGCGGGTGGTATTTGTACGTTTTTCTAGGCCTGCAGTTTGTTTTGTATGAATGCTTCAGTTACATTTTGATAAAAAAAAATCATCCTTATTACATGCAGTGATCAAAGGCCTAATGTAATAATTTCATCAAAACATGAACAATGTATTGTAGACCTTTATTATCATTATTCGTGAAGTTCACATTAATCAGCATATTTCGTTTACACTATGACACTGTATTGTTGATCATAGGCCGTGTGCTCATTGATTAGTAAATTAATTGTGCCATTTGCTTAACCTAAACATACAGTTTTTGTTATGTTCCTGAACCGTGCTAAAATTTGCAACATACCTATTAGGTCTAAACAATGACAGCAGACATACCGTAATACAGGCCTATTCTATATATAAGTGTTTATTTTTAGGGCCCACCACCCACAGTATCTCGGAACCACCCACATATCTCGTAGGTTAATTCTTTTAATATAATTGCTAATAGGTAATATGTATTCTTTTTCTCCGGCCAAATCGTTCCGTGGTTCCGTAGGCCTAGTAATTATGTACATTCTCTGTTCAAATTGGAAGTCGTGTGTGGAATTTCCTACTGTCAAAAATAGGGAATATGACCTAAATGCACGGATTATAGGCCTATTATTTTAGCACAATCATTCAAAATAAGGGAGATTCACACGCGCCCCATACTACGTTTTGAATTCGTAGGGTGAACCGTTTAGTATGTTTATTTTAGATGGAATAGAAACACAATCATAGCAGGTGGAAGCGTGCAGTTAATACAGTGCATATTATATGTAGACAATCTGTAGAAATGGAATGTGTGTAATATTGTTATGTGTAATTAGCAGGATTAATGAGGTGTGCGTACCCACTTGAGACCCTTGGATATTTTATTATAATCAAGCAGGTGTTAGATAGTAAGCTCCACAGAGAAACATACTTCATACTCTGTAGGGGTAGACTGTGTCGCCTTGAGATTAATTAATATTACAATGATTAGTACATTTCCATAGGCCTATGCCTAATAAAATAATACTAAAATGTGCATATAAAGCGCTCGCGACCTATTAATAAAGCTTTTGCCTTTACCTCGATTGATTGAATAGGCTTATATTTTTTTTGCAATCGTTATAGGCCTAAATTTCGCGAGGAAAGCTTTAAGAAAATCACCTTATTTTACTGTATGACCGGGCCCAAGTACTGAAGTTTCATGTTTGAGAATGGTTTACAGGACGTTTCCTTATTTTAAAAGTTTCTAAATTTATTAGTAAACCTGTGTTCACCATTTACTATTGCATACATAAGAATCCGAAGTTTCAAATTGAATTACAAAATCATTGACCGTACGAAGGTTGTGATAACCCGGAGGGGCGATGGAATATCCTTATGTGCCTCCGTGGTTGCCTTTTCACATAGGCCTATGGGTTGTAATGCTGCTATTAGGTCTAGTCTAGGCTATAGGCCTAGGCCATAGGGCCTAGTGTATTATTTTCTGTTACATGCGAATGTGCTTGGTAAATGCTTGGATGGCAGTGTCTTTGTGTTCATTTAGCGTTATAGCTTATGGTAGGCCTATAACAAGTCGAATATTAGTGTTGCAAATTATAAGAGACTATAGGCCTACAATGCAATGCTTTCTTCGTAAGTATATATATGATCATGTTGAATAACTAGTTAATAGGCTATATATTCATATATTAATTAATTAATTCAAATTATATTTATTAAAAATTCATCGGAATATATTTATTAATGTTTTTTATTTATTGAAAAATCCATCGGAATATTTTTATTAATGTTATTTATTTTTAAAAAAAATTTGGCATGTAAAAATCGCCATTCACAGGCATATTTTAAAATATAAAAAAATTCCCAACATACAAGCAATACCGTTTCGACCTATATCTTGGCGAATCATAAATGTTGTCAACGAATTATTGTAGGAAAATCAAAAATAAATGTAATCTATAACGGTATGGGCCTATGCATATATTCGAATTTTTTAGGACAACTGAATGGCCTCGGCATCCAACCAAACGGTTCGAATCCTATACATTGTCTCCAACAATTTCTATTACTGGGTATCGCTCGTGTCTTTAAAATATTGTTCCTGGGCTTGTCTCTGCCCAGGAGTATATAAACAGATACGATAGAATGTGAGATGTTGAATGCTAATTCACAGTGTTGAATTAACTGCATGAATGAGACTGCTTCCTACGAGATTGATTACGGTTATGACCAGGGTAACATAATAGCAAAGAAAATATAGTAAGCCCAATGCAGAAGATGATTATAATATCTATAATGATAATGATATTAATAATAATAATAATAATAATAATAAAACAAATACAACAATATATATATATATATATATATATATATATATATATATTATACACATCTTGGCACCTACTACTACTACTATTAATAATAATAATAATAATTATTATTATTATTATTTTTTAAAAAATTATATTTATTAATATTAATAATAATAATGACCTAAATAATAACTAATATTTGACTTAATCGATGTATTGACATATAAACCTATTCCTTAATCAAGTTGGTTCCAAATCATCATTGTACAGACGTTAAACATGTGAGGACCAGGGGCCAGATTTATTAAACCAGAAATCAACAGCTTAAATTCGTCTTAAGTCCATTTTTTTGCTTAAGTCAAATTTATCCATATTGCTTAGCTTAGAAATTGCTTAAAATTAGAAAGTCGAGTGTACGTTGTCACCATCTAGACGAATTTTAAGCCAAGATTTTGCAAAGATTGGGTAAGGAATCAGCTTAAGATATTTATTAGGGACATCTTAACTTTTTTGACTTAAGACATTTGCTAAGCTGAGATTGATAAATCCCGGGCCAGGTATTACCAACCACACATAATAGAGCTAAACAAAAAATAGCATAAGATACGTAGACCAGATTCATTACGGTACCGTAAGAAGTTCAAATGTAGGCCTATGCTTTATTTTGTGCTGCCACTATAATGTATTCGTTTGTATACTAAATTATGGGTTGTAAATCATAACGGGTTTAGATCGTTAACCCTGTTAATACAAGTTATGTAAAATAATCCACTAACCTAACCCGAATCACGCAAAATCAATATTGTAGTTTAGAAATAGTAGAGTCTAGCGTAATATTTACATTTTGTAAAATTTCAGAGGGGAATCTACACGATGTGGAGGTGCAGCTTGATGTTTAAGATGCTTGACTCCAATCTCTCAGGGTCCTTCACTCAAATATGTTGGGGGTAGGGGGTGGTGGAGAATGAAAACTACGGTACTCACACCCTTATAAGTATAGGCCCTAGAGCATCACATGCCCATTCTGGCCATTTGGTTGAGGAGTGTATACCGCTCTGTCTAAGATTATCAAATTATTGTATGTCCACATTTAGTCATGGTGTGCCTATTATGGTCATGACCATATTTAGGCACGTCACGTGCTTTTGTCAAATACAATTTGATAGCCGCCTTTAAACTGGAAGGACGGTAGAACACAAGGGCGACATTAACAGGGTGAATATATTAATACAAATATTTTCACTGAGCTGAATTTTGTTAATTACTGCGAAGGACTGTAAAATTCAAAGCAACTGTATAATAATAATTGTGATTACTATTTTAGATGTTAAGTTTGTGTATTCTCCCAATCCATTCTTTGCTCTATGACCAATCTGATTTTGATTGTTAAACGCAACAATTAGTTTCAACAAATGCTTAATTCAATTATTTATCGATGAACACTTATTAATAACATGGTAATCAGAATTAATATAAGCCTAACCTGTATTTAAGTCATTGGCCGGCGAATTATAGGGGTTAGGTAA